TCCGCTCGGTGCGACCTAGTGCCGGCCCCGCCCCGTCCTGGACAGCCACTCCCAGTACGACCTTGTGCCCATCCCCACCCCGTCCTGGACAGCCCCTCCCAGTACGACCTTGTGCCCATCCGAGGACAGCCCATCCTGGTGGGACTTTGTGCCGGCCCCGCCCTCAAGGCCCGTCTGCCAGCCTACTCAGGGCTGGTGCTAACCCTCACATCCGCTGGACAGCCAGGGTTTGGGGTCTAGCGTCTTCTGACGCAGCTACTGATGGGAAGTAAAGAAAGGGTCAAAGACGACCCCCACTTGTTGGCCTTGAGTGTGCAGACTCCGCCTTGAGTCTGCAGGCCCGTGGACCCCACGGAGCAACGTTTCAAGAGCTGGGCCCCCAGCGAGCCAAACCTATGGAATGCAATCAGTCACATCAGACACAGCCCAGAGAAGGGTTCTACCCAGCTAGAGCACGTGATTGTGGCCCAGAGCCTGGCGACAGATCTCCGCATGTCCCTTTCTAAAGTCCCAAGTATGGCAAGACAACTTTAGTGCCAGAGTTGTTTTTCCTTTTTTCCAGACAAACGCTGAGTGTTTTTCCTGGACTGTTTCCTGCACAATGATACCCAAGCACACATGGGGTTTTTCAAAGGTTCCCTGGTTGAAATGCAGCGGGAGTTCCTTTCCTGTGTGTGCCCTGCCTGCTTCTCTGCTCCCTGTGAGCATCATCTTGTGTTTCCCCTCTATGTGACCCACAGCGAAGCACAGGACACTCGCATGCTTATAGATTCCAATAGACCCAGCAAGCGTTTGCACGTGAACACTGGGCTGCAGACCAGGCACTGCCTTGTAAGTCTCCTTACCAGTCCAACCCTGGGCTTCCTCTCAGCATGAGGAGGGTGAGAGTAAGTGCCCTCCCTACCTGGTAGGGGAATTGTGCAGACTAAAGTGGAGCCACAGGAAGCCATGGCCCAGCACAATCCCTGCAAGGGGGTCTTCTTCAGAATGATGAATTCTGATTGGCTGGGGCAGTGGTGGAAAACCAAATAGCACTGGGTCCACTGCTGTCAGAAATAGGAAGAGTCAGGGCCAGCAGCTGGAGTAATGGCTATGTTGCTGGACTCCCATGTAATCTACCGCAGTTCGAGTCCCAGACCCCGTGGCTTAAACTCATGCTGGGCACGTGTGCATGTGTGCCCAAGATCCCGAGAGGAGGATGGAGGAGAAGGGATTGCAGCGTGGCCATCCCCCTGGGGGTGATTACTCACTTTCTGTCTCTCTCTTGGTGTCTTTCTGGCGAGTGCACGCGCCCTATAGCAAAAATCTCTCTTAAAAAAATTGGGAAAAAAAAAAAAGAAAAAAAGAAAGAGGAAGTATTCGGGCTGGTGATGTATGTGTAGCCTGGGGTGTGTCACTCCAGTGCCCTGGTCCCTCATCTGGGAAAGTGTCCATCATATAATCCAATTTCTTGTCTAACACCCTCAGGGCCAAATGTTTTGGAAATCAGACTCTTTGGATTTTAGACAGGTAGATCTAGTTGGTTGACCAGCCTCCAGAAAGGATTCCCTCTGCTTAGATACTCACAGTCTGGAATTCTCAATAGTGAAGGCAGAAGTGTGTAACCAGGAGGACACTGGAGGGTGATGCAGTGTGACCTTTGCTCTAACACACGGACACTGTGAGCACCAGAGCTGGCCTGCGTTCTGGGAGTCCTTTTGGTTCATCTCTTGGCCTGCAGACAGACTGGGGACTCTGGCAATAGAGCTCTTTGCAGCACACATGTGTTATTATTATTTTTTAATCAAATGAGGTGAACATACACATCAAGATTTATTGTCTTCATAATAAAACAAAAGATGAAGCTTAGAACTGAAACACTTGACCCCTTCTCTTCTTATCTCCACCCAGTTCAAAACGCTCGCGTCTCTTAATAGCCAGCATTCTCTTAGATCTGCACTTGGGCATAACACATTCGAGCCTCAGCACGGTCTCTAGGTTTTGCCTTTTTCCAGAAAATAGGCTTAGTCTGTCCACCATAGCCACTCTGCTTCCTGTCAGAACGCCGCTGTCCCTGAGCACACAGAGAATCCTTGCCCTTTTTGTACTGGGTCACTTTGTGAGGTTGGTGCTTGCCACACTCCTTACAGAAAGTCCAATGGGTTTTAGGGACATTTGCCATGTTTGTGGGCATGCTATCTGCACAGAAAGAACTATTATTATTATTACTATTATATTTTAGGTTTTTGCCAGCCCACCCTGCCGTGAGACCAAGTGTGTGAGCTCACCAGAGAAGAGATAGAGAGAGGGAAAGTAAGAAATCACTCCACAAGGAGGAGGGCCACACCACAATCCCTTCTCCTCCATTCTCCACTTTTGGACACCTGCACACACACACACACCTGGTATGATTTTTTTTGGAGAGGTTTTTGCTATAGGGCGTGTGTGCTTGCCAGAAAGACAGAGAAAACAGAGAGATAGAAAGCGAGAAATCAACCCCCAGGGGGGGGATGGCCACACAGCAATCCCTTCTCCTCCATTCTCCTCCTGGGATCTTGGGCATACATGCACATGTGCCAAGCGTGAGTTTAAGTCACCAAGTCCGGGGCTCAAACCACAGTCGACTACATGGGAGTTCAGGGATGTAGCCATTATGCTAACTGCTGGTCCAGTCACCTGGTATGATTTTTAAGCCACCAGATGTGGGACTTGAACTGAGGTTACCCATGTGGAAATCCAGCCATCTTAACCACCACGTCATCTGCTGGCCCTACAGACATTGTTGTTTGTGTTAGATGGATCACTGCTCCCAGCTCTTTACTACCTCTTGCTACACCCTTTTGCTATGTGACTTTGGTACCTGCACTAGAGCAGGCCACATCTGTGTCCCTGCCCACTCAGCACTGGCATGGTCTGTGGTCTCGGCAGGGGTGTGCAGGATGAGGCCTCGGATGGCCCTCCTGAAAGAGCAGACTTGGACCAGCTGGTGGCGTAATGGTTACACTGCTGGACACCCATGTAGTCAACTGTGGTTCAAGTACCAGACCTGGCGGCTTAAAACTCACCCCAGCAGCTGGCATAATGGCTATGTCGCTGGACTCCCACGTAGTCTACCGTGGTTTGAGTCCCAGACCCAGTGGTTTAAACTCACGCCGGGCACATGTGTGTGTGTGTGCCCAAGATCCTGAGAGGAGAATGGAGGAGAAGCGATTGAGGTGTGGTCATCCCCCTCTGGGGGGGGGGGATTTCTCACTTTCTGTCTCTCTGTCTCTTTCTGTCTTTCTGGCAAGTGTATGCACCCTAAAACCTCTCCATAAAAGGGAAAAAATAGTAATAAACTCACACCTGGCACGTGTGTGTGCGTGCTCAAAATCCCAAGAGAAGAATGGAGGAGAGTGGATTGTGGTGTGACCACCCCCCCTGAAGGGTGCTTTCTTGCTTTCTGTCTCTCTGTCTCTCCAGAGAGAACACCTGCCCTATAGCAAAAATCTCTCCAAAAAAAGTAAGTAAAATAAAATAAAAAAAAAAATAGGAGAGTAAATCTGGGATAGCTGCTGATCCTTGAATAAGACAATGGAGCCAACCCAAGTCCCACCCACAGTGACACTGTCTGGTCCTGCCAGCTTTCAGACACATATGCACTCTCTCCCTAGGCTCTCTGTGGACTCGCCATTGTGACAAAACTCTTTAGAAGCACCAAGTTCTTTCTTGCCTCAGGATTTTGAGCCTCTGTTTCCTCTACCTGGAATGCTTTTTCCTCCTACTTTTGCCCTGCTAACAGCTGCAGGAGGTGGGGCTCACAGGTTCTGCGAGGGTCTGGATGTGGGCACCAAACAATCACTAAACAGACTGCTCTCCAAAGAGTCCCTCCCAGTGCTTCAGTGGCAGGGCCATCATGCATGCCCTGTGGGGTTGCCACCTGTCCTGTCCTGACTCTCCGAGGTCTAGCTCAGCGCGAGTTATGAGGCCACCAGAGGCAGGAAGAAGACCTGCAAGACCGTGCTGGGCTCCCGAGGAGCACAGATCTCCACAGCCCTCG